TCCGAGGTATGCCAAAACCAATGCAAAAGCCAGCTGTCTGGGCCTACCAGACCTACGGTGTATTCCCACAGAATTAAACACTTTACTACTGTTTAATTCTGTGTGGTTGAGGAAGGGTAGGGTAAATTAATGTAAGCTGAAAGTGAAACCAACCGCATTCTCCTCACATAAACTCAATGAAAAATGTTACAGTCACCTACGTACATGTACAAAAGTACAGTGTAGCTTAATGTATTACATATAAGTCAACTTCAGGGCAAATACCAGTATTAACACAGCCTGGCCTGGGGCATTCTCCTGGTATTGACAGGTAGATCTGTAATCATCATTGCTAAGCTGTGGTAACTATTGGCAAGCTCAGTCAAACCAAATGAAAACAACAAAGTTTATATTACAACCGGTAGTACTCTCCAGTCCACCAATAAAAAAAAAATACCCTCCATCCTTGCAATACGGCCTTTCAGGTTACTTTACAGCCTACATGTACAGTACATGTTGGTAGCCGGTTGCTGTGAAAAGGTTATCCTGACAAGATCAGCACACAAACCCCTGGGGTCCAGTTTTTATGTCCATCAAATTCCTATACAAACTTCGTTCAAGCAGGGTTCAAGTTAGTCAACACCACTACTGTATGTGTGCGTGTACGTGTAACGGTACAGCACATGTAGGTGTGCAGGCATGACAAGCACTCTCTACACATGTGTACTGGTACATACTAGTACATGGTACATGTATCTTGCAGTACCAACCTAACCATACACATGTAGAACACAGAATAAATACAATGTATTACTGTCAACCTTTTTGTGAACACTGTGCACTGATGGCATGATAGTCATTCCTTGCAAGCAACAGTTTCAGAAAAAAAATGAAAGTTATTTAAACACAAACTTCTTCATATCCACGCCACCAGACTGTACATGTATTTGCGGGGTACCCAATTTTAGTCGTATTCCTGAACGTATTGTATACATTTGAAACTTTTAATGAGATGGTACCAGGTGATGCTGGGGGTCGAATTGAAATCATAGAACAGAGTCTGGTTAACGTTTTCAAATGAATACACTACAGGTACATTGGGGAATCTGACCGACATTGGGTCCCCCCGCCAATACGGTTCATTGTAGGATGTACAATACCACTAATTTAATAATTTGGTGCCATAGAGATGTTCCCCGACTTGTATTTTGTACATGTATGGTGTTGACAAAAGGCTTTCAAAGAAATTCACAAGCTTACACGTACATATATGTATATGTATATGTACATGTACTTGGGTGGGATACATTGTATGAACCAACAACTTTCTGCACAGAAGTTTAAAGGCAGAGACTGATGATAGCATTTGAACAGTGAACAGAATACACTCAATTTTTCCAAAGTGAACTTAAACAGAACATTAAAACCTGCAACACAAGGCAACAGCTGATTAAGCATTAATTTGCATTAATTTCTGAAGGTACACAGTTAAGTTCTCTACATTCTCCCACTGGTTTCTGATGACACTTTATACATTTTACTTTTTCTTTTTATTTCAAAGCCCCCAATAGTTCACAATGCCTGTGAACTTGGCATGTGTTGTAGAAAATATTCCAGCCACAAGGGTCAATATAAAACACCTGGCTTTCTTTTTACAAACACAGTGGGTGTATAAACTTCAATATTCCCCCACTTACTGTTAATGTTCTTTGGTTTTTCTTTTTTCAAGAGGGAAAGAGCTGGTCACTAAGCACAGCAACGCCATGAACTTGGCCTGCAAATAAAATACCCTTGGTTTAAAACCAGACAGTAGAAATACATGTAAGTAAAGGTTCATGTACCAGGATTCTGAGGTTATGTAAATACATATATGTACACATGAACTTTGAACTACAGTAATTATGGCAATTGTCTGACGTAATGTGTACCTTGTATGCATAAATGCACAGATTTCTGCGTATTTTTTCTCAGAATTTTACGTGTATACAACATGGCAATAAAGCCTAAAAGTCTGGAGTAATTACAATTCATATTTGTACGGGCGGGGATTCTTGCCACCAGTTGCTGGAAATCACTATGTGTCATGTTGGCTATACAGAAAAATCTTTCTTATTGTTGTAATTCCATTAGGATTGCAACAGTGATATGTGTACTTCTATTAACACCAACAGATTTGTTGTCCTCATAGTCCATCGGAAATAGTCTTTTTGTATTAGAGTTAATTCAGAGTTAAGTATCACAATACACTTTATTTTGTGAAATCGCAACATTTTCATACCTCAGTTACATGTACAAGGCATCAGGACTCACAATGTACATGTGTACATCAGTAGGCTACTGTGCATTGTTACAACCATGACACAGGCATAAACTCTATCACAGAGTGTGCACATTAGTACATGTAGAACTACAGAAGAAAAATTGATTGGAAAGAGTGATTAAAGTCATGGTAACCTTTATACTGTGTATCCACAATACACGTACAGTATAGGCACAAAGTGCAATGCCTGTACTTGGTTTTTTAAATGAAGAACAACAATCTCTCTTAATCATCTTCTAACCCTTTGAGGTTGTTAATGAAACTATGCTCTTGTAGCAAGATGCTTCTTAGCCGTTTTTAAGAGCACGAAACTCCTCAATGTGGCGGCAACGTGTACATGTAGCACTGCAAAATCAAAGTGGCTAAAACGATCCTGTAAAAGCAACAAATCCAAACTGAAGACTAACCCGAGGTTTCGGTTCAAACTTTGCTGAATTTATGCAACTTATACCCAACGACAAAGTACCCCTCGAAAAGTACCCCCTCACAAAATTGAAAGTTTCAAGAAACAGTTTATTTTTCATTTTATTTACATGTACATGTACGCTTACAACATGCATTTTTTGTACTGCATTATCAAAGTTTTACCCAACACGACCCAGTTTTGTGCCAGGATCAAAACAATAAAAGTGAAATGGAAAAAAAAAATCAGCAATCTGTACCACTGTATCTGTCCCAGACTGACCCATGCTGTGTCTATTATTACACTTGGGTACCAGTCAAATATCAAGTTTAGCCAAGAATACCTGTGCATTCATACCACGTTTGTAACACCAGGGGATTAGTAATGCCAGGGCAGGATACTTTATGGCACTTCAAATATTTTCCTTTTCCAAAGCAACAATAAAAAGCATTCTACGCTTGGTTTTAGTTCTGGCATCTCAGAATCTGAAAAGCAAATAGATGTTATAAACGTTTGTGTGACAAATTGAAATCATACCAATATGTTAAACCCTCCGGGATGCAACAGAAACCAAGAGTGACACGCACAATTCTGCAACAAAATACTCTCTAATGTCCACTGCTCAAATCAAACAATCACTCGAGATTCCTCGGATCTTATCACTAATGCATCAATTGGCAATGACAAACTTACATTGAGTCAAGCTAATGGTGATATCATTCAACAATACAAGACTGCTAGTCTATTTCTGGGAATACCGGTATGTACAATTTTAAGAATGCCTCCTGGCTGGAGTCGTGAATGACTCTGCATTTACCTCATCTGATTTAAATAAGAAAAATCAAATTCAGTAAACATTAGAACAACAAAACAAAACAAACACCACTGTATCACAACATAACCCTTCGAGCAATGAAACAATCAATGCTACTTAATTTCTACAGACACATCCGGCGACCAGAATAACCATAGACGCCGTTACTGCGGGGCCATCCTGTGCGCACGCATGTGGTACATGTACACGTGTCCGTGTTGCATTTCTCTCAGACCAATAGGGTGTTGACTCACTAACATGCGCGCACACGCTCAAGTTCAAACTCATGCCTGAGTATGATGGTCCTGCACTGCTGCAGATATGGCATCTCCTTTGATTTGTCAACGATGCAATCAAAAATCGTCCACAAAAAAAGGAATTGTCTTTTGTTTTACTTTGTTTGAAATCCAAACTGCAACTACATTAACTTCCAAATATTCCTGACAAATTTCCCAGGAGATACACACACACACCAATGGAACAGGAAGAATGCACATAAAATGCTCACAGACACCCACACCAGAGTCTATATACATGTACCAAGTTTCTCAAGGCTACATACACATGTGGGTTTGTTTGACAGCTATAAACTGCGCTGCTTTATTTTCCCTCTTTTGTCTGTCTGTTATAGCCCTGAACCAGGGAGAACAATGGGGCAAACTTACATTGTTGAACACTATCTACAGCAAACCCCCAAATCTCTGTCCCACGGTTGGAGTAGGGCAAGTCGATGTGAAATGTTCCAGAGTGGAGATTTCAAGTTTGATGCACATATATGTACATGTACATGTATCATGCAAGATACTTGTACATGTACCAGCAATGACAAAGTTGCTGTTTACTCAGTAAGACGTACATGTAACTATTAGCTTTGAGTCTGAATGAAGACAACTGTACACATTTACATGTATATTACTTCAACACCCTCCCCTCCCAAAAAAGGCATAAGGGGGGAGCGGCATATATTGTTTATTCTTGTGAAGGTGCTCCATATTATGCACTTCATAAGAGGGAAAGTGTGAAGTAATTACATGTAATCTTAATAAAAAGCATAAAAATCATAGGGAAACAATAGCAACCTGAATCATGTTAGCAGTCAAACAGTGTACAGTATTGCAATAAAGGCATTATTTATGACATCTCCTTCTTTTTCTGCTTCTACATGTACATTCATACTGTGCAAACACCCTTGGAGGGTTATAAACGTGCAGGTGTTCTTGCTCTTGGAACGTATCATATTAAATAATGTAAAGTAATGTTAAATTGAGAGGTGCCAGACTATTTTGGGTTCGAAGCCTCACTTTCAGGTTTTTTTCACATGACTTGAAACATTTAGATATTGTTTGTCACAAACTTTAAATTATTCTTAACCTGAACTGGTATTAATTTGGAATGAATGTTTATTTTGTTACAGTTTTTTTCACTCTCAGAATACCAGTGCAAAAAGAACACAACAAGTTATTTACGAAAGACGGCAAACCTACCTTTGTTGCGCATGTTCGAGGATTCCTTCCAAGTCAAGTACCGTATTATATTCCGATAATCCAGGAAGGAATGGGAAATGCTCAATTGTGACAGCTCACACTGAGCAGGGGCTTTACCAGGAATTTACAACCACCAGTGCTTTATCCGCACATCTGATCATTTCCTTTCCAATGCTTTGTGTTTTCCTATGGCGAACATCAGCCATGAATTCCTGCATGGGGAAAACATAAAGAACAACACGGTATAATCAACAATCTCACTGCAAAAATGTTACCTCAAAACTCTAACAGAAAAATCACAAGGCAACATTTTTTCCATTGTCTCTGTATCATTTCCCTTCAAATCCCTAACATGCAAGCCAATACATGGATAATGCTAAGGGAAAAACATGATGTGAGACCAAGACATTAGTAAGATCGTTAATTATGAGTCTAACAACAGCCGACCAAAAACTAAGCCTCAGGGGTGGTGAGATACGGTACATTCACGTTGGTGTAATGTGTGTGTGTCTAACAAAGAAACTGATGAATATTACATGACCAACCACATCATGGGATGTCAATATCAGGCACTTTCTTCATGTTACATGCATCTTTGGAGGACTGGGTTTGGATATGCAGACAAGAACAATAGCTATTGCTTTCAGTAAAGTACAGGTACATTTTACTCTTAAAATTTAATGTCAAATATAGAGAAAAGATGTAGGCCTACATGTACATATATTTGCCTTGTTGAAAAGCAGCAGTCCCTGTAATACAAACATGAAAATCAAAAAATGGTTAAATGCCTACAGGACAGGATGTGATTTAAGTTTTAAAAAACAAAATGAACCTGAGAGTTCAAAAGAACAATTATATGCATGATATTAATTCTTATTCACCAAGGTACAATGTACATGTGAACATACATGCCCATAATGTATATGTACATACTGTACCTGTATACACACACAATGGGCACAATTCTTTGAGAATATTTGCATGAATCTGCAAAAAAATTTATAAAAATAAAAAATAAAAAATGCAGGAATTGAAATCATTTCAGACGGGGGACAACGGGCATTATGCACAGCAGAAAGCGAGCAAGCAAGCCCATGACTCACATCTTGTAAAATATGCATACATGTTTTGATTTTATAACTAAATGTGCATGGTGCTAAGTTGTGTCTGATGTTTCCTCAACATTTTATGTGTACCACCTGTACATTTCTGTTTTCGTCTGGGAAAACCCCATCATAACAGCACATCTACAGTACTGTTTATATACATGTACAATGTAGAGTGTAATGCACACACATGCAGGTACCGGTACCACTAAAGAAAGTAACTGAATTTACCTGAGATGAGGACAAAAATCAACAAACATGACATAAATTATATATAACGGTTTGCCCGTACCCAACATATATTAATAAGCACTGTATGCTCAGTGCTTGTCCGAGAACTTGCGAAAAAAAACCTCACAAGCTTACTCGGGTGGGACTCAAACCCACGACCTCCTGCTCACCAGTGCAGATG